ACTCAAAACCGGTCTCTGTCTTCGCCAACTGTATTCCACTCCCGCACCAGCGATGAGAACGGACGCGCTCGACAATTTGGTCCAACTCGCATGACGAAAAATAATGCACGGTCAAAATATATACATGTTCCCTTACGCCAATGGGGTAATACATCAGTTGTATTAGAAGAATTAATGCACAATCAATAGATATGTAAGCACACTAAGAGACAAGCAGTGAGTTGCAAAGTTTGAAGCAGTTATCCCTTCAAATGGGCGAGCGCGTCCATCCTCGCCAATGGTGAGGAGTGGGTGCAGTGGCAAAGATGCAGCCGGGGCATCGCGTACCAATGTCGATAGATGGGTACCAAGTGCCGGAATAAACACCGTGCATAAAGGCATACAGTGCTAGAATCCCAAGAATGCAGCAGAAACGAGAACGCAAGAACTATTCAAAATCTTACTGCATTAAGAGTGTGAATGACATTCATTATTCAGACTAAATAGCCGCGTGTGTGTGTTTTCATACGTGTGCATGCGGTGTGTGTGTGTGTGTGTGTGTGTGTGTTTGTGTGTGTGTGATCATCACTTAGTCTTTTTACTTGTTCGCTTACACCTGCCTCTTTTCCCATCTCCCTGTCTACCTGCATATCAACCTGTCTATTGCCCTATCTACCTACTTACCCCCCACTCCTTCCCCCTACCTAGCTATCTCTGCATCTGGCTGTTAGTCTGTCTAACTATCTATTTACTTTGCATCTCCTCCCAGTCCCACTACCTTTTTTCCTGCCCACCTACCTCTTTGCCCATCCCCCTCCGCACTTGTCTGTCTATCAGGCCATCTATCTCACCCAGTGGATCGTCCGCGAGCGTCCTGCAGCCCTCTTCCCGCTGCGCCGCCGCCCTCGATTCCTCCTGAAGAGAGCCCCAGGAAGGCGAGCATGGCGAGGGCGAAGGGCGCGACGCACGCGAGGTAACATGGTCTGCGTCGGAGCGTCATTTCTGTTCTGGAAGAGATCGGGAGAACTTAGGGCTCGCTGTAGGGAACGGGAATGGGAGGGGATAAGAAGAGGGAAATATGCATATATGTAATGACTAGAAGAATAACCTCAAGATTAAAATGACATGACACGGAGACTTGTTTAGGTGAACGTCTCCGACCGGCTGCCACCACGGAGCTGACTAGGAGGACTATGGAAGGACAGTCTGGTATATATATATATTTCCAGTACTTAATACATTGTTGAAGACGGTAATATTTTGCTTCATACAGATATCCTATCTTGCAGTTATTAGTCCTTGTTGCAATTATTCAACGTGAAACACGCGTGAATCTCTTGGTATTTTCCATCGCAACTGACAGAAGTAAAAAAATTGGTGATTGTGAGCGCCAACTCTGAGCTTAATTCCTTATTACTCCAGCCACTCGTGGGGATCCACAATGTCCGGGGGTTTCTAGGAGAGATAACGTAATTTGCTCTCTTCTGGTACGCTATGCGACGATCCGGCGACACCAGAAGCCGTGAAAAGAAACTGAGTTATTGAAAGGCCGAACTTCCAAGGATCTGTTACTTGACCCTGGGACCAGCCACGCCGGCTAGGCCTATGCGCCCTATCCTGGTATTTAGGTCTAGATCCTGAATCCCTTCTCCACGGAGCGCCTCATGGACGGGACTGCTACAGAGCCTAAACACTATGGCATCCGGCTCTTTTCTGAAACCCCCGCCAAATACCAGTACTCTGACCGCTTCGAAATTGGCTTGGAAAAAAAAGAGGAATAAAGTGGTTAGTAACGAAAACGGAGCATGCTATCATGGACACAGTTAAGAGGCTCCATACACACCTCAAGGAGGGCACCATGCGTATCACAAACGACATGATTGAACACTGCCAAAAACATAATCAATTTAAACAACGGCTACCTCCTCGAGTAACAACACAATCCGCATGGCATACCATACTCTACACTCACGCCTCACCATCATACAACACAATGTACTACACTGGACAACACGAAAAATCAGACGACGTCACATCCAGCGACCACCTCCCGGTCATGCTAACACTGTCAATAAACCCTATCATGATCCCAACGCAACCCCAGGAATCCTTCAAGCATGCAAACTGGGAGGGTTTCAAACAAGCACATGAAGACACACAAGTAACTAATCTCGAGGGGCAACCCACACACACAATAAACACCCACCTTGAACAGTGTTACACAGACATACAGACAAAACAATATACAAGACTATCCCTCACAACAGAGAAACGCACCGTCTGAAATTGCTTAAATTACAATACAGGCACTTACATGAACTTGTACTAACACGAGGCTGGGACACACAACTACGCACACGTTACAGAGAAATTCAAGCACAAATTACACACGAAATTAAAGTAATGAACAACACTAGGAAACACTCACGCAAAGACTATGACAAAATGACAAAACATGAACAAGCAGACACTCACATACATATACAACGTACAAAGGCAGAAGGTTGACACGATGGAGGAGAGGGCGACTCTCCACAGGGAATTCTGGCAACAGAATTTCCAAATCTCCCCCACCGAGAACGCCCGATTCGAACACACCACAGAGACAGAGGTTACAAACTACATACTACAACATAGGAACATTATTCTCCCAGAGAACACCATCAGGCTAAACACTCTCATAGAGGACTTTCCCTTCTCCATACCAATCACACCAGAGGATATAGCAGTCAAACGCACCAAAAACACAACACCAGGAGCAAGCAACATAAACAAAACAATCATTGAACAACTTCCATCCAGAATGATCAGCAGACTATGCCATATCTTCAATGTAGCGCTGGCAACAGGATAAATTTAAACACTCCACTATCACCTTAACACCCCAGCCAGGAAAATCCACCCATGAGGTGGGGAATTACCGCCCCATCTCACTCCTAGAAGTCCCAGGCAAACTGCTAGAGAGGGCAATAACACAAAGACTCATCCCACACCTTGAAAATAACCAAACACAAACAATAACACAATAAGATAAAAAAAGAAAAGAAAAACACAATAAAATACAGAAATTAAAAATAACAAAATAAAACAAAAACGAAGTTGATTTTAGTTGCATTGTAGTTAAGTAGTTAATATATAATTGGTTCTTTTTAATTAATAAGCCATTAATCGTTAATCGTTCCTCATTACCCTAAAAAATCTTAAAAAAAAGTTAAATGGCTATAAAGTAAAGTAAAAATAATTCAATTTCACCTTTTTCTCTTAGTTCCACTAAACTAGTTATTATAAGATATAAAACCAATATATAATAATAAACCGTAAAAATAAAAACAAAAACATATAAAAATAGATATATATAGCTATATGTATACATTTATTTGTTTAAAAATAGAATTAATGTTCTTGTGTTCTTTGCCAGCTTCATTGAATCACAAATAACAGCTTCCCCCCCTCCCACAAAACTCCGTTGCAACAAAATGATACAGTACAAACGAAAAAATATATATTAATAAAAGAAACATTTATCCAACTCTTGACACAGTATGGACATAATTGTTATCATAAAACAACAAAAAATAAAAGAAAGGAAACATTAAGACCATTACAGGCAATAAATATTTTCAAGCAATGGCATAATACAGTGTCTTTTATACCTTGCAAGATGACAACATTTGCTCGCGGAGAGCCCCTTTGAAACTGTTTTTTGTTGCTTTTGTCTGATGCATGCAGGAAGCTGTTCCGTACTTGGGGCACTTGATGCCTTACATCTGTTTGGCTGTGGTGGTTCTCAACAGAGGAATTTGAAGCAGAGAGGGATTAGGCTTGGGGTATCTTCCATTTTCTCTTGATTGAAACGGATCTATATCATTGGTTGTAACCCAAGGGGGAGGCTGGGCAGCCAAGGCTGAAGGAAAATGCGACACCAGTTTTTGGTGCGCTAACGGGGGCGAAGGAAGAGGGAAATGACGTTGGTGTACTTACAGCAGAGCCAAAGTTTTAATTTGGCGAGAGAAGGCAGCAACGCGAGGGGCTTCCCTGTCCAGCAGGCGTCAAGGCTTCTCTTGGGCTGTGTGTGTCCTTGGAAGTGCAGGGGAAAACTCAGCGTCCGTGCAGCCCTTCTGCTCTCGAAGAAGTGGTGGCGAGGCGAGGGCGGAGGTCGCGCGTCCCGAGTCAGGCGCTGTGTCGGTAACGGAGGTCAAGCTCAGACTGATGAAAGGTTTGTCGACACGTGGCCAGATCTGCTCGGCTATTTTGCCTTCGGCTGTTGTCGGGATCACGCGGGCGCTGCCGGCAGTACATTACTGGCGTGGATGTTATATCTGTATCATATTACTATATTCTACACATTTTATATAACCTTACATGTTTGTCAAATACGTATCTTCACACATACATATGCATATAATCATGACCATTACTTTAACTGAATCTCTTCTTACCACACTAGCCGTTACAATGTGTTGTTTCCCCCCTTCCTCATGAGCTATTTATTGCTATAACACTTTTTAGTTAATCACCGGTTGCCACATGCAGCTGGTGATTTACAACGATCCTTAGACCACTGTAGGAGACGTCAGGCAGACTGCCTGCGGGGACCCAAGGAGAAACACCTCGCTCCTTCGCGCAGCCGCTCTCCATCAACCCAAGATCTCTTTACACCTTAAGCTCTTGTAGGGACCCATCTTGCGTGTTTGTGTTTTTTTGTGTGTGCATATGTGTAAGCACGATATTTTAATCTTAACCTCTATACTGCCAGGAGACACTACAAAACCGATTCACTGTCAAGCGCATCTCTACTGCCTTGTCGGTTCGCTGCCAGGCGGCAATTGATGAGATCTGGTATATTCATAAAACTGATTTTTTTTTATAATTTTCATGATGATGCCTGTTTTATTATGAATCACTCTATTGAAGTATATCAGAAAAAAAAACGTATAAACATTTCCTGATAACCATCTCTATTTTTGTTCTGTTTTGTGGGGTTCGTAAGTCGTCAGGTTTTACCAGACTCAAAACAATGCTGTAAGTACTACCGACTTTATGTTTATTTATCGTTTACATATAACTATACAATGATAATTATGTATAAAAACGTATAGACAACAAACACATAGTATATATATTTATATATATGTATATGTATATAGATGTGATATATATGTATATATCAAATATATATATACATATAATAAATCCATATATGTTTTTTATTTATATGTATATGAAGTATCTAGGTGTGGTGTACTCCTATCATTTCTACGGAAAAACATAAATACACATACACACACACGTATATGTATATACACACATTTATATATATATATATATATATATATATATATATATATATGCATATATATATATATATATATATATATATATATATATATATAT